TATTAATACAAAATACTCCATTTTTCCATAAGGGAGTAGGAAAATTTGAAAGGAAGGTTCTTTATGCTCATCTCTGTTTATACACTGGTTTTGTTATTCTCTTTTATCTACTTTGTTTGGACAGTCTTCTCTTTATTTTAAATATTTATTTATTGCAATAAATATTTATTTACTCTCCCAGTTAGTTGTTTGAAATTAGCAAAATTCTTGGCAAATGGCAACAGAGTGGAAATTCCACAAGTCCTGCATGTCCACTAAGTTTGCAGAAATACTAAGGTGAAGAGCAGGACCAACATGGTCTTTCAATTGGGTAATTTTTTTTGCCTGTGCCAGAAAAACTAAAGAGTTGCAGAAAGAGTAGGTGGCACGCAGTTATTCCTGGCCATGCAAAGGACCATGAAATAGTCCTGAAGATGGGATAAATGCTTTATATACATGTGAAAATCCTAACTATGAGATGTTCACTGGTGGCTAAATTGATGCTGTAGTAAATAAACACTTGGTGAGTATATCTGGAGTTTTCATATCACGGGGTTGTCAAGCCCTGGAACAGGCTGCCCAGGGAAGTGGTGGAGTCCCCATCCCTGGAGGGATTTAAAAAACGCATAGATGTGGTGCTTAGGGACATGGTTTAGTGCTGGACTTGGCGGTGTTAGGTTTACAGTTGGACTTGATGATCTTAAAGGTCTTTTCCAAGCTAAATGATTCTATGATTTGTTTTTTTCAGGAAAGTTAAGTTGCTTAAAGGTAGAAAGGGATCTGTTAATTGAAATGCTGATTTACTTTTTTTAATGCACCCAGCCTTCTTTCCTTTTCTTGATCATGAGATACTTTAAATTTCTTTATGTATTACTTTTTGTAAAGAGAAATTAATATCAAAATGCTTGTATTTTTAACAGTTGTGTTACAATAGGCTCCACAAGGCTCCAGAGGTGAAAATCCTATCATGATCTTCTGTATACATTCATAACTGCAACCTTTTTTCCTCTGTCCACAGTTCATGCAAAAGCTTGAATTTCATATTAATGTTCCTTCATTTCTCTTGTGACTGTATCTTTTTGGTAAGACTAAATCTGTCATAAATCCACTTGAACTTTATCTCCTTGTGGAAATAAATAGTATTTTAGGTAACAAGGTTAGATATGCAGACTAAAAGCAGCCACTTTTGGTATTCTAAGTGCTTTTCAGAAAATGCATCCTGTGGGAGTTAAAATACTAGAAAGGCTTGTATACTTAAGAAATCGACTATTAAGGCAATATATTGTGTTAGACTTTAGTTCAATATGAGCCATAGTATAAAAAAGTCACTTTCTTTTGCTTCACCAAAAAAAAAACTTAGCTAAAATATTGAACAAGTTAGCTGCTACATTTTGAGTCAACATATAGACTGAAGAGTAAATTCTGTGCTTCTTGAACATGTGTAATCTAATTAGCATTTGTGAGATTTACTGGGATGAATTTTCCCCTTGGCGTACGCGGTTGCAAACAGGGAGAACGTGGGCTGCAGGCTGCTAGAGGCAGACATCTGCCTGGAGTGGACATCCGTGTGGAGAAGCGCCCTGAGGACCTGGTGTCGGCTGACGTGGTTCATGAAGTTATGAGAAGATTTGTAATTATGGGGAAGTTCCTCAGCTGGTGAAAATAAGTAGAAATCTGCTTTGAAGGGGAAGGAGGTTCAGAAGATGCTTCTTGAGATCACAAGGTGTAATTTAGTTAACAGAGACATGCTCTAAGAACCCCGTGTTGCTGTAGTGCTTCACAGGAATCTAAGTTTAAAAATAGCACTGCTTTTTGAGAGGTTTTTTTTTAAATATTATAGGGCAGTTTCATTAGAGGTTATTTTTGCAGTGTGGGCCTCAGTCAAAACTGAGACCAGTATTAAGGCTAATAATTAATCCTGTTGGTTTTCTTATTTCATGAGGAAAGAATTAAGTGTGTTTTTCAGTATGAATTTTTCTTGATGTACATCAATAAACTATTCCTCTTTGGAAGTACCTTCTCATTAGCACTTATGAGAAGCACTAAAGACCTGCTAGTGTCTTTAAACACAACTCACCAAATGTATGAGCCTAATTAATTTCCTTGTATTTTATACGGTTTTAGCAGCTAAATCTTAATTTTCTTTGATAATATGCTTCTTGAAATGGCAGTATACATTTATTCAGCTTTTTTTATGTCATCTGCTAAAGCATGTGTTAACCATCATAAATTTTTGATGGAGGTGACAATCTGGACTGCACCCCTGCATGTGACGAGCTAGCTCATTGCGAGTTGTGAGCAAGACTTGGCATTCACCTTTCTTTCAGAGCACTGGTGCGGTACATGGAGTGAAGCTCCTGCCTCCTTTTTTTTATAGTAGCTCAGCTCAATGAAGCAGAACTTTAAATCAGATGTTTCACAAGAAAGCATTGACTCACCCCTTTGTTACTGAAAAATGTTTGGTGGAATAGTGGCATCTACAACCTTCATTTAAATGAGCAATGTCCTTTCAGGGTGGAGTAGAATCAGCCTGCTTGTATGATTCAGTCTGTATTTCATTGATACTAGGCTCTGGGTTAGTAATCTGGGACTGTCGCTGGCTTTTTAATTCTTGATTTATGCACAAGTCCTTTTTGAATTTGGTAAAGAAAAGATAAGAATTGATGTGCACCGCTTGGAACTGTATTTTGTGTAAAGGTGATTTTACTCATTTAGTGTTGTCAAAAAGCAGGTGAAAACGAGGAGTGTAATGCAGCTATGATGATTCAGTGTCGAGCATCAATATCTGTACTGTTTGTGTCATATAAAGATTTGGTCTATGCTGTCTAATTAAACCAAGTGGAGCTTGTTTGTTGTGTATATAATACATAATTAAATTGAGACTTAAAAATAGGGCATTGTATGAGCAACACTGTACTTAGTAATATCCAATAACTTCCTGTGAGATTCCCTCTGGTTCTCACATGCCCCGTGAGCTTTGAAAATCTCAGAAAAACAGGGTGCCTCTGCCGACTGAATGTTTTCTGTTTACCGTCTTAGCTATAGGGGAAGAAGAGTTTTTTCCAGAGGGTCTTACAGGTTTCAAAGTCTCTCTTGCAGCATCTGTGTAGGACTGAGAACCAGTAGCATCCAGTCTCAGCTTCCATTTGTGTCCACAAACACAGCCTTGAACCACTTTCCGCCTTCCTTCTACCAGTCAGCCAAGTGCCAGTTTTAAACAGGCCCCAGAGAGCGTGAAGAATGCCGCGTTGTATTGGTAGATAAAGTTCAAATGCCAAATATTCCCTCTACTGCAGAAACTACGCAGCTGCTTCCCAGCGTCTTGGCTATTTTGTCGTAGCTGTCTCCATCAAACCTCACAGTCAGCCTCAAGGCATTTGAGAGGCTTGGGGGACAGAGCTGGTGAAGGTGACGTATGTTGCAGCTTCTCAAGTGGAGGGCTGAGACCAAGTCCTCCTCCTCTGAACAAGGGGAAGAGGTCAGAGCAGTGACGGAGCACTCTGGAGGGTCCCCACATCAGACTTGCTGCTCCGAAAGGAGCAGAAGCAGGGACGGCTGGTGCTGCTGGGATGGGCCACCTGATACAGTGACGATACCAGGGAGAGAGGATGACCTTCCAGGACTCGTGCATAGGAAAGTGAGGCCATGGCCACTTCTTTCTGTTCACTGTCCGCCCTCTAGAAAAGAAGTTGCCATTCCCTGAGCTGAAAGCCAGCCCGTGTGGGCTCTCATTACAGCTGAGGCCTTCAGGAATGTTTTGATGGCAAAAGATAGATATACAGAGATAGATGACCTAAAAATTGAGCCACCTCAGCATATTCTAGTTTAGCATTTGGTTTGTAGATTTTGGTCAATACCTTCAAGAAAAGACTAGGGCTTTTTGTTATTTCTAAGAGTGTGCTTAAAATAAGAACTGTTCCTCTCACTGGCTGGTAAGTGGATTAATTTGGCAAATTAAAGCTTTAGTTAGGATGATGGTAGAAGAGAGCATTTGTCCTCAGTCTCTATCAATGACTCTTGTCTCTAATGTTTCTTTTCTAGAAATTGAAAGAATACCGTATGCATGTTTGATATTGTATTTAGTCTCTCAAGATGGCATCCCAGGTCTGATGTTCAATTAGGGAGTGCAGTTCTGTAATCCTCATTTAATTAGAACTCCTTGTCTTACTCCCTGAGAGTTGCATTTGTAATTGGATTCTCACAAGTGAGAATATGCAGAGGCTACCTCAAAGGGAAGTTGTAATTTGCTGATGTGTGTTACTTACCTGTAGTTCTTCGAGAATGTTTCCTCTGCATATTCACGTTATGGGTCCTGTCCACCTTCTGTTTGTCCTCGGATTTCTACTGCCCTACGATTGCGGTGTTTAGTAAGAACAACTGAAGTATTGAGCACTGTACAACTCTTTAAAAATCTCTGATCGCTTGGTGTCATGAGATGGCACTTGTACAGTCCTAGTAGTCACTACTCTTCTGGGAAGTTCCTGTAGGTCACCAGCACGGGAGAACCAGAACCCACTGGTGTGAATATGCAAGGACAGCACTCTCGAAGAGCAAGCTGATGGTAAGTACCCTTTCTTTGTCTTCTGTGATTAACCAAATATTTCAAATGTTATTTTGTAAATTCCCTATCTGCAAATTTGCTATGCTTTTCCTACGATAAAAACATACTGAGATTAATTTTAGAGCTGTTGCCTTTCTGGCAAAACCCAAGAAAGTATCTGTATTTGTAAGTACTCACTTTAGTTGTAAATTGACTACTACTAGCAGCGTGTGGGTGTGTACACATATTTGAGCTATAATATATATTTCTATCAGACAAAAAGGCACAATTATAGTGCAGTGTTATATACTTTACAGAGTTGCACTCTTTTAGTTGTATTATAATAGATTGGATAGCAGAGTGAGTCACTGACCAAAAAAAGTCTTTTAATAGTAATTCTCAAAACAGATTTTCCAAAAGAAGATCAAAGGTATGTTGCTTTTCACTTCTAAATTTTTTTCTGAACTTTTGTTTTTTCCAGACATGGAATTCTGTGAGACTCCCCATATTCTGTGCTCTGGCTACCAAACAGATTTACACGGTGTAGCTGAGCACAGTTACCCGCTAGAGGTGGGCTCAGACGTGGATACTGAGACAGAAGGTGGTGCCTCCCCGGATCATGCCCTGAGGATGTGGATGAGGGGGATGAAATCGGAACACAGCTCCTGTTTGTCAAGCCGGGCAAACTCAGCATTGTCCCTCACTGACACTGACCATGAAAGGAAGTCTGATGGGGAGAATGGTAATAAAGAAATCCGTCTAATGTACTCAATAGAAGTAGGAATTTACTTGAAACTTTCTTCTTCTACTTCTCTCTTATTTCTCTCTGTTTTTTTTTTCTTTCTTTTTCCCTCTGCCTTCTTAGGTCTCTGTTTTATGAAAGGTGAAAGAGTTGTTTGGTATGTGTATTGTATTTATAGTGTAGATGGAAAATAAGACAAAGAAATGAAACAATGATTTTGTTAAAAAGTCATTCTTCTAGAGACCAACTATTGTCCCACATTCTTCATTTTTATTGCCATAGGACATTTATCATTTGAGTTTAGTGGCTTATGAATTAGGTTCTAAGATAAATCTATATATGTACATTTATATCACATTTTGTGTGCACATGCTGGCTTCTGTGCGTAGCCTTGACTCTATAGCCAAGTGACTTCAGACAACCTGGAATCCTAAATGCTCTATTTACCTGTAATTTCAGGCTACATCTGAAGACGTGCCTTAATCAGTAGGACAGATTGAACAGGTCTTCGTCATAGCTCAGCTCTGTATTTCTCTGCATGTGGAGGGTGGGGTTCTGGGTTAGGTTTTTGGGCAGGATTTTGGGGAGATGTTTTTTTTTAAACACATTCATTCTCTTTCAGGATCTTTTCACTTGTTTGCTTTTCGTATGGCTTAGTGTGTCACGGAAGGGGAAAATGTGTATTTAATTAAGTAACACAGGGGGAATTAATATTTTTTTATCTCTGCATCAAAATTGGTGAAAATCTGCTCTAAATGTTTCCTTAAAGAATATAGTAAGTAAACATTTTTATCATGCTTAAGATCAACAAGCTTAGCTCATGTTTTACTTTCTGTGTTTAATAGCTAGATGTTATGGCAGGTCTACATTTAGTTAAATATGTATTTTTAACTGGGTAAGAGATGGGAGAACCAGTGACAGTGGGAGATTGACGCTTCACACTTTAGTAGATCTATAGTCAAAAGATGAAAGAGAGTTCAGTCAGGAATG